TGGAGGTAACATCTCCGCTGAGAGGAAAGGCCAAAACCACGGAAGATCCTACTCTATATAAAGCGCAAGCACCCCCATGTGAGTCAGCGCGTCTGTATGTCCACGTAAACATGTCTGTATATGCGCCCCAAAGAGCGATCAAGAAATGATCCTTGGCATTCGCCAGACGGCCATATACTGCGTAAACAACTGATGCCGACTCCAAAGAGCGATCAGTGATCTTTGGCATTCGCCAGACCATATATACGCGAACGACTGATGTTGACTCCAAAGAGCGATCGAAAAGTGATCCTTGGCATTCGCCAGGCCATATACTGCGCAAACATTTAAGAGCTTCCAGAAAATTCAGACGGTAACATGGTTGTGGGTACAAAAGTACAGTCTAAGATGTTGACTGATCAGTCTCTCTTTACATTATTCCAGTTAGGCTTCCAAACTATCGACACGCACGATTTCAAATTTGTCAGAATCTTCTGCCGATTTGCTACAGTTTTTTCACTTGCTCTGGCATCAACGCGCTCCATTTAATGTTTCAATTTCGCTTTCAAAATGACATACAAATTCAACAAATGTATGTTAAGGTTTTGAGTGCAAAAGTCAATGTTTTGATCCTTGCTTCGTCAACCGAATTCATGCAAGTAAGCAAATCGAAAAAAGTCTCTGCGCTCATTACAGTTGAATTTTTGGCCCCTTTTGCTCTTTTTTTTTTCAATTTTATGCTTTCTTGGAACTCCCATTTGCAAAATGCTTTTTGGCCGTTGCACTATCATGTGTAAATCAATTCTGTCATATGTTTCAAACAATTAACCTGCATCGATTATTAGGTTCTAAATCAAATTATCTACGGTGTTTTCTGCAAGTATGCTTCTACAAAGATTTGTTCTCTGTGTAAAGCTGGACTTTTGAACTTATAGTAATAAAATAGATTCTACGAGGACTAGGTCCTTGCCACGTGTCACAAAAATTGACAGATTGTGTTCTATTTTGACATGTTTCTTTCGAAATCACTTTCGCTGGAGAAGAGTATTCGTAATCACCTAAGAGCTGTTTTTCAAAAAGCAACAATCCTGGACTTACTTTAAAACATCTTCATTGCCTTCAGCAGGGATTTAAAAAATTCTATTTTCCTCTTCGAACCCTTTTTGTGTACTCAACCAGAAAGGAAGATGATGGTTTGAAAAACCTTGCTGCTGCTGCTGCTGCTACTGCTTTATGTCGCCTGAACGACGCAATTCTAGCGCAATTTTCTATTCTAAGCAAGTCTAGCGCAATTTTCTATTCTAAGCAAGTCTAATCTGATCTGTTCATCGATAATTGTTTTGAGACATCCACATCACTCCGCCGATTCTTTTTTTTTGAAGAAGAAGCTAAATAAAACAATCTGTGTGCTTCAATAATAACTAGGTTCCATTTCGAGATATGTCGATAAACAATAGCATTGCGAGTGGAGTTTTTTTCATTTTAGGCAGACTTCGCTGGAACGGATCCTAGGTTTCGAATGCGCGTCCATATTCGCATATGCACTTTTAAACTTCTCGAATATTGTACCAATCTGGAACCAAATGTTGATTGATTCCATATTGTGCAATTGTTCACATTGGTTGACTCCAGTATCAGTACTCCAGTATCAGTAAATGAAAGAACAGTATTTGCAGTTTTTGAGAAATGAGGGGCACCAGGTTCCAGCTTTTGACTTAGCGGAAACATTCGCTGGACGGCTGCATATTCACTGAGGCATGGTCATCAATGTACTCTATGCAGTCGGGTTAATTGTGAAAGATGCTGTATAGAAAATGCTTAGAGAACTTAGCATATAGAGGCGATTTGAAACCACTTCTTCTTCACAAGTAAACGCCGAATACTGCAAGCTTCTAATCCTATTTATGTGCCGATTCACATCACCGTTTAAGTAGGTGACGTTTCGTAACTCTACGCGTATCGTACACTGCTTATTTCGCTACAAGTTGTGCTACAGATGAATATGCATTCCTCAAATACTGAAGGAGCAACACCGGCTTTTGAACAAGATCTGGCAATAAACACCGTTGACACATACAATTCATTGAGTTCCTCGCATACCCAGACCTTATCTGGCGAGCTTGAGGAAATTCAACAAGGCCCTTCGAATGCCGCCTACTTAGATGAAAACGAAATGGTGAACAGTTTACAACATACAAAATTCCTTTTTAATAGAAGCATTTAGAATTATGACTTTAGCTTGCGTCGAACTCATCGAGTGAAATTCAGCAAGAAAATGATGCGGACTTAGCAGCTCCGCGAAGTTCTGAAACTCATGCTGACAGACGCCGACAACGTCTAGCGGCGCACGCCAAACGAGCAGCATCTGAAAGAGCCAGTGAGACTGATCACGAGCGTAGGTTACGACTTGCAGCTCTAGCTAAGAGGGCTAGGCTCAAAAGATCAGTTGAATCTGAAGAGGAGAAGTCAGTCCGTCTCGCGAAAGATGCGGAAAGGGCGAGAGCAAGACGATCGGCTGTGCTAAAAGAACGAACTAGAATTACCAAGAGCGATAAGATCGAGCAAAATTCCCAAGAAAGTTCGGTACAGCACGACCGTGGAGAAGGCTATGTACATGGTCAATTTCCAAGCACATCTCGTGCTTATGGATCGGAAGCTTTGGTAAGATTGCACTTTCAGTGGTTTCACTAATTCGCATGTTTTCTATGTAGGACAGCCAACAATTACCACTCTCGCACTACTTCGAAGCCACCACTGCGGTTGCTTCGATTGATACTCAACTAATGGTCAGCCTGTCATTTGTTGAAATTTCTTATTGATCATTATCATGATTTAGTCTGACCCAAACGGGCAGAATAGAGGAAATTCAAACGAACCTCGCATATCCGAGGTTCTGATTTCCGGTACACAAGAATACCATGGGGAATCAGGACAACTCACCGCCACAGACTTACTCAGCACTACTGAGCAATCAGGTTGTCGGCTTGAAGTGACTGATCATGAACGCCAATCACGTCTTGCGATTGATGCGAGACGAGTGGCATCTAGGAGATCCAGTGAAACTGAAGATGAACGGAAACATCGCCTCGCCTCATCCTACTCTATATAAAGCGCAAGCACCCCCATGTGAGTCAGCGCGTCTGTATGTCCACGTAAACATGTCTGTATATGCGCCCCAAAGAGCGATCAAGAAATGATCCTTGGCATTCGCCAGACGGCCATATACTGCGTAAACAACTGATGCCGACTCCAAAGAGCGATCAGTGATCTTTGGCATTCGCCAGACCATATATACGCGAACGACTGATGTTGACTCCAAAGAGCGATCGAAAAGTGATCCTTGGCATTCGCCAGGCCATATACTGCGCAAACATTTAAGAGCTTCCAGAAAATTCAGACGGTAACATGGTTGTGGGTACAAAAGTACAGTCTAAGATGTTGACTGATCAGTCTCTCTTTACATTATTCCAGTTAGGCTTCCAAACTATCGACACGCACGATTTCAAATTTGTCAGAATCTTCTGCCGATTTGCTACAGTTTTTTCACTTGCTCTGGCATCAACGCGCTCCATTTAATGTTTCAATTTCGCTTTCAAAATGACATACAAATTCAACAAATGCATGTTAAGGTTTTGAGTGCAAAAGTCAATGTTTTGATCCTTGCTTCGTCAACCGAATTCATGCAAGTAAGCAAATCGAAAAAAGTCTCTGCGCTCATTACAGTTGAATTTTTGGCCCCTTTTGCTCTTTTTTTTTCAATTTTATGCTTTCTTGGAACTCCCATTTGCAAAATGCTTCTTGGCCGTTGCACTATCATGTGTAAATCAATTCTGTCATATGTTTCAAACAATTAACCTGCATCGATTATTAGGTTCTAAATCAAATTATCTACGGTGTTTTCTGCAAGTATGCTTCTACAAAGATTTGTTCTCTGTGTAAAGCTGGACTTTTGAACTTATAGTAATAAAATAGATTCTACGAGGACTAGGTCCTTGCCACGTGTCACAAAAATTGACAGATTGTGTTCTATTTTGACATGTTTCTTTCGAAATCACTTTCGCTGGAGAAGAGTATTCGTAATCACCTAAGAGCTGTTTTTCAAAAAGCAACAATCCTGGACTTACTTTAAAACATCTTCATTGCCTTCAGCAGGGATTTAAAAAATTCTATTTTCCTCTTCGAACCCTTTTTGTGTACTCAACCAGAAAGGAAGATGATGGTTTGAAAAACCTTGCTGCTGCTGCTGCTGCTACTGCTTTATGTCGCCTGAACGACGCAATTCTAGCGCAATTTTCTATTCTAAGCAAGTCTAGCGCAATTTTCTATTCTAAGCAAGTCTAATCTGATCTGTTCATCGATAATTGTTTTGAGACATCCACATCACTCCGCCGATTCTTTTTTTTGAAGAAGAAGCTAAATAAAACAATCTGTGTGCTTCAATAATAACTAGGTTCCATTTCGAGATATGTCGATAAACAATAGCATTGCGAGTGGAGTTTTTTTCATTTTAGGCAGACTTCGCTGGAACGGATCCTAGGTTTCGAATGCGCGTCCATATTCGCATATGCACTTTTAAACTTCTCGAATATTGTACCAATCTGGAACCAAATGTTGATTGATTCCATATTGTGCAATTGTTCACATTGGTTGACTCCAGTATCAGTACTCCAGTATCAGTAAATGAAAGAACAGTATTTGCAGTTTTTGAGAAATGAGGGGCACCAGGTTCCAGCTTTTGACTTAGCGGAAACATTCGCTGGACGGCTGCATATTCACTGAGGCATGGTCATCAATGTACTCTATGCAGTCGGGTTAATTGTGAAAGATGCTGTATAGAAAATGCTTAGAGAACTTAGCATATAGAGGCGATTTGAAACCACTTCTTCTTCACAAGTAAACGCCGAATACTGCAAGCTTCTAATCCTATTTATGTGCCGATTCACATCACCGTTTAAGTAGGTGACGTTTCGTAACTCTACGCGTATCGTACACTGCTTATTTCGCTACAAGTTGTGCTACAGATGAATATGCATTCCTCAAATACTGAAGGAGCAACACCGGCTTTTGAACAAGATCTGGCAATAAACACCGTTGACACATACAATTCATTGAGTTCCTCGCATACCCAGACCTTATCTGGCGAGCTTGAGGAAATTCAACAAGGCCCTTCGAATGCCGCCTACTTAGATGAAAACGAAATGGTGAACAGTTTACAACATACAAAATTCCTTTTTAATAGAAGCATTTAGAATTATGACTTTAGCTTGCGTCGAACTCATCGAGTGAAATTCAGCAAGAAAATGATGCGGACTTAGCAGCTCCGCGAAGTTCTGAAACTCATGCTGACAGACGCCGACAACGTCTAGCGGCGCACGCCAAACGAGCAGCATCTGAAAGAGCCAGTGAGACTGATCACGAGCGTAGGTTACGACTTGCAGCTCTAGCTAAGAGGGCTAGGCTCAAAAGATCAGTTGAATCTGAAGAGGAGAAGTCAGTCCGTCTCGCGAAAGATGCGGAAAGGGCGAGAGCAAGACGATCGGCTGTGCTAAAAGAACGAACTAGAATTACCAAGAGCGATAAGATCGAGCAAAATTCCCAAGAAAGTTCGGTACAGCACGACCGTGGAGAAGGCTATGTACATGGTCAATTTCCAAGCACATCTCGTGCTTATGGATCGGAAGCTTTGGTAAGATTGCACTTTCAGTGGTTTCACTAATTCGCATGTTTTCTATGTAGGACAGCCAACAATTACCACTCTCGCACTACTTCGAAGCCACCACTGCGGTTGCTTCGATTGATACTCAACTAATGGTCAGCCTGTCATTTGTTGAAATTTCTTATTGATCATTATCATGATTTAGTCTGACCCAAACGGGCAGAATAGAGGAAATTCAAACGAACCTCGCATATCCGAGGTTCTGATTTCCGGTACACAAGAATACCATGGGGAATCAGGACAACTCACCGCCACAGACTTACTCAGCACTACTGAGCAATCAGGTTGTCGGCTTGAAGTGACTGATCATGAACGCCAATCACGTCTTGCGATTGATGCGAGACGAGTGGCATCTAGGAGATCCAGTGAAACTGAAGATGAACGGAAACATCGCCTCGCCTCATTGGTGGAAAGGGCTAGATTGAAACGATTACTGGAAAATGAACAGGAAAGGTCAAAACGCCTTGCGAATGATGCAAAAAGGACGAGAACAAGAAGAATGGTTGAAGTGGAGAGACGATCAGATGCAAGTTCAGTAGCCAGAATGATTCAAGATCCGCTCGAATCTGATCAAACGGTATTTTATCTTGAAACCATACTTCTTGGGCAACCGTATTTTTTGAGCTAAATAACCATGAAGTTCTCTCGCATCACAACGAGAACGAGGAGTTGAGAGAAGAAGCGGTTACTCAGGTATATCGAATAAATAACCACTCTGTTTTGCGAGGCATTTGAGCATTAACTTGCAGATGAGTTCAGTTGGAAATGTGCATTTGCAGCGAAGAACACCCGCTAATCTTGGTATAGCGCTAAGTATGAATGTCACAGAAGAGAACTATCTAGGACGCCTAAACGTCAGGTGCGCTCACTGTGGAGCTCTGTACTTTCCTGGCGAGGGTACATCTGTCAATGGACGTTTTAATGTTTGCTGTAACTTTGGAAATGTTTCTCTGGATTTGTTTTCTGATTTTCCCGAGCTCTTCCGGTCATTTTACCTTGGAACTAGCCAACTTTGCAAAAATTTTCGCAGTCACATCCGCTCATTCAATAGCGCACTTGCTATGGCTTCGATGGGGACTCAAGTGGATACGCCACGTGGTGCTGGACCATACTGTTACAGGATTCACGGACAAGTGTATCATTATGTAGGTCCCATTACACCAGAGCCAGGTGTTCGTCGACAATTTGGACAAGTGTATATACTAGACACTGATGACGCAGCGGCTGAAAGAAGCGGAAATCCGCTGAATGCACAGTGTGATGCCACCGTAATGCAGCAACTGACATTATGGTTGCATTCGAACAATAGTTATGCGGCTTCATTGAAAATGATGGGTGATGTAGCTGCAGAGGAAGAGCGTCGAGCCCTTAGGGAGAACAGGCAAGTGCCAACAATCCGAATGGTTTTTCATGATGCCCGGAACGTAGATCATCGTCGCTACAATGTTCCCGTTGCCAACGAAGTTGCCGTTGTCTATGTAGGCGAGGACGATGATGTACCAGCAAGTCGCTCCTTTGCCATTCATCATAAAGGAGGTAATCTGCAGATCATTCGGGATATCGATGCCTGCTGTGATCCGCTGACTTATCCCCTGCTATTCCCTAGGGGAGGAAAAGGGTGGCACGTTGATCTGAAAAAGAATCCTAGCTCTCGCATTCGCACGAGAATATCACAACGCGAGTACTACTCCAACATGCTAGCTGTTCGTCATTCCTTCAATCCGCTTCACCATGCTGGAAAACTTATGCAGCAATTTGTGGTCGATGCGTACGTTAAAATAGAGCAGAATCGGCTGAATTATACCCGGACTCATCAAAAAGAACTTCGAATTGACAGTTATAAAGGTCTTACAGATCATCTGGCCAGTGATGGTGTAGACGGGCCTCCGGGACAGCGTATAATTTTACCTTCTTCATTTCGTGGGAGCCCACGTGCTATGCATCAATCTTATCAAGACGCGATGGCTATTGTTGCAAGGTACGGAAAACCCGATTACTTCCTTACCTTTACTTGCAACCCTCAATGGAGGGAAATCGCCGAAAACCTGTTCCCTGGCCAGTCCGCTTCAGACCGACCCGATTTGGTGACTCGCGTGTTCCATCAAAAGCTAGAAGTGCTGCAGAAGCATCTTTTCGAGAAAAAAATTCTGGGATGTGTTGCAGCTTATGTGGGGATCGTAGAGTGGCAAAAGCGAGGCCTTCCTCACTGCCATATGCTTCTGATAATGGCAGCAGATGCGAAACCAAGGACCCCTGAGGCTGTTAATGCAGCTGTTCAGGCATATCTTCCCAGCAGTTCCGAAGACCCACGTCTTCTGAGCATAGTCGCGCGGAATATGATTCACCGTCGATGTGGAGCAACCAATCCGACTGCTCCATGCATGGTAAATGGGGAGTGCTCAAAGCGTTATCCTAAGGAGTTTCGGGAAACAACGGATATCGATGTCGATGGTTACCCTAAATACAAAAGACCTGACGACGGCCGCACCGTAACGAGTGGAGTCGAGGTGTATGATAACAGACATGTTGTGCCCTATAACCGATTCCTCCTTCTCCTCCTCAATGCGCACATAAATTTGGAAATCTGCGGCTACATACATGCAGTCAAGTACCTATATAAATATGTATACAAAGGACCAGATCGAGCATCTTTACGTCTACTCCAACAGGGTCAAGCGCAACGAACTGACGAGATTCGGGCTCATCTCGATGCACGATATATATGCTCACCGGAAGCACTTCATCACATTTTTATGTTTGAATGTCAATACAAATCTGCTGCTGTATACCGTCTGGCTGTCCACCTCCCCGACTTCCAGTCGGTCACGTTTCGATCAGGTGAAGAACGTGAGGCGGCTGTACGTGAGGCAACTAGAGATTCCATGTTAACAGCATGGTTTAAATTGAATGAAGAGTATGATCTTATGGAAAGCGAAAATGGAGTAGCTGGACTTCTGGATCCTCGAACGCTCTATTATCATCAGCTGCCAGAACATTTTACGTTTGGTAAAGAAAGAAAGTGGAGTAGAAGAAAGAGGGGCAGTCGCCAAATTGGTCGCATGTACATGGTCACACCCACTGATCCAGAGAGATTCAGTTTACGTATTTTATTACTTAACCGGAAGAACATGCGTTCTTTCGAAGATCTCCGCACAGTCGAAGGTAATGTGCATTCAACATTTTTGGATGCAGCGCGCGCTTTGGGACTGTTGCATGACGATTCCCACTATGAAAGTTGCTTAGAAGAGGCAGTTCACTTTCAGATGCCTGCGGAATTGCGGGCGTTATTCACTTACATGCTGGCTTTTTGTGAAACGTCTAATCCAAGGCATTTATATGACCGCTTCAAAAGTTATATGGCCGAAGATTTTATTCACAAAGGATATACAGTTGCTGACGCTGAAGCACTCGCATACTTCGAGCTTTACGATAAATTGCAACTTTTACGCTACGATCTTTCGGTCACAGTCACGCCACCCTCACAAAATAGGCCCGTTTTGGCGGATCACACTGATTACGCTTTCCATAAGCGGAAAGGCAGTGAGATGTACGAGCACCTCAATGAGCAGCAGAGGTTAACAGCAGATGATATCTTGGCATCTTTTGAAAATGACCGTTCCAAGCTGCATTTTGTTGATGGTCCCGGCGGTAGCGGAAAGACCTATCTTTATAATGCCGTTTACCACATCTTGAAGGGCCAACACAAACGTGTCATATGTGTAGCATGGACTGGCATAGCTGCAAACTTATTGCCTGAAGGTAGAACACTCAGTTCGACTTTCAAGCTCAACATGAAGTCCGGAAATCGTCAGTGCTCATTACGACGTGAAGACAAGGATGCCGTCCCACTCAAAGAAGCAGATGTTATTATTTGTGACGAAGTGAGCATGGTCTCGAAGTCCTCACTCGAAGCTATTGATCTTTTTCTGAAGGATTTGATGTGCAATAAAGCACCTTTTGGTGGGAAAATAGTCGTATTGGGTGGTGATTTTCGGCAAGTGCTGCCAATTGTAGAGCGAGGAAGCGAAGGAGATATGATTGATGCATGTGTAAAGAACAGCGACCTGTGGAGCTGCTTCACTATGCATCGGCTCTCTGTCAATATTAGAGCTGCAGAATCTGGCTCAACTTGGTGTGATCTTCTGATGCGAATTGGGAACGGAACAGCAGAAGAAGATGAGATGGGCCGCATAGAGCTTCCAGCTGAAATCCTCTCTAAAGGCGATCTTATCAGTGAAGTATTCGGTGATTTGTTGACTGATTTTAACACCTTGAGTGAACGAGCAATACTAGCACCTCGGAATATCGAAGCATATCGGATCAATGAAGAAGCACTGGGGAAACTCCCCGGACGAATTTACGAGTATAAGAGCGTTGACGATGTAATTAGCGATGAACCACAGAACGAATATACGACCGAATTTCTCAACAGCTTAGCACCTGCTGGGATGCCTCCTCATAATCTTCGGATGAAAGAGGGCTCGATAGTAATGCTTTTGAGAAATCTCGATATTAGAAATGGGCTATACAATGGGACAAGACTGATCGTCACTCATTTTGGGCGTTTTATCCTAGGATGTCGGTTTGCATCAGGGGATAGGAAAGGAAAATTAGTGCTGATACCACGCATAGACATCTTCACTGAAGTAGGAGTACCTTTCCGATTGCGAAGAAGACAATTCCCTGTCCGTTTATCATTCGCTATGACGATAAATAAGGCTCAAGGACAGACCTTCACTAGCGTGGGCATCTCCCTTGAGTCTGAGGTATTTTCGCACGGTCAGCTATATGTGGCCCTATCTAGAGCCCGACGAATGGAAGGAATTAGAGTCCACAAAAAGGAGGAAAGAGTGAAAAATGTTGTGATCAGAGCGGTTCTCAACTGATAACACTTATCTGTATAGAAGTACACCTTACAAATAGGCCGAGATGTTATGGCTCACAGATGAAATGTGCCTTAGTATGAGACAACTTTGGTTTGACGCGTGCTATAATTGTTCGCTTTATCCGCTCCACTCATTTCGCTCCAAGCAACAAGAGTTTTTACTAAATTATCAGCGGAGTGGATGGATTGGATAGTAGCGTATCCCACTGAAATGAGCACCTGCCTTGGCCATAAAAAATCATCCTAGATGCGGTTGCGTCCTTCCACATTTTTGAAATACTTTGTATCAATGCGCTCAAAAACGGAAATTGCTCAGTAATCGCTACAGGATAGTTACCATTATAAAATGACCTGTCACAGCTACTTATTTACCCTAAGACTTGCTATTATCTCTCACATGCTACTACTTCTGTTGCTGTTGTTACCTAAATACTGACTGCTTCTTTATGTAAAGGGTAAAATACTGGACATCTCTATAAAAATGTACTTCTGCGTTTATGTTTAAGGTACCCGCATAATGTTGTCAATCGACATAACCACTTATCCGCTCCAGTGCTTTTTTCCCTGTTCATGCCGTATTTTTGTTACTGTTGTTTTCTATATTGTAAACTCCAATTCCACAATTTCCATGCTCAAGTCATTATCAGTTGAGATTTTTAGGCAGCTTGAGATCATCATAGCATAACTATAAATGACTATAAACGAAACTTACAAGATATGAACAAGATTAGCCAGATTTCCAATCAAAAATTTTTGCACACATTCTGTTCACGAGCAAAAAGTTATGAAGAACTTCACGCATGCGCCAAATGATAGTGCGCAAGCGGCACAGTCTATTATTCATATATCCTGGGGGGAAAAGGCACACCAGAAAACCTTAAAGCTTCTAACTTTTGAGCATATCCCACTTCGCACACAGCCAGTCCAAAGCGCCGCGAAGCGGCGCTTTGGACTGGTATCACATATTTGCCACCGGAAGAAGCACGAACACTGCGAACCCGCCGTGAGGCGGAGGAAGCTATTCATCATCATGCAGAATCACTGAACAGTTTTGGAAAGTGTGGCAACATCATTACCTGACTAACCTGCGAGAAAAACAACTGAAGAACATCTCAAGAAAAAGACTTGGACAAGAAATTCCCACAGTGGGGTCGGTAGACTCATCAGCGACCCAGTCTTACCAAGGAATTCGTGGAAATTGGGGGCGTATAACGGATATTCGATGTGGAACAGATGGTGTAATTCGAGAGGCAGAGCTAGTGACCAGTAACAGATGTAAAGTCAGACGACCAGTCAATCTGCTGATTCCTCTCAAAATTATCGACGACATGAGTGAGATAACAGATAAAGAGTCAACGTCGTCATTGAATGGGAATTCAAAAGAAAAAAAGTCGGAGAAGCCCTATGACTTCAGACCCCGCCAGATGAGCTGTAAAGTAGGGATTGTTGTGACGACCACAAGAAGAAGAAATCCGCGCAACACAAGAACGAAATGGTTTCTATTCTATGTTATGGTCCTGACTTTAACTACTCTTGTATAAAGTATCTATATTTACTACATGGTATCTACATCTTATATATAAAGCTGAATGTCTGTTTGTATGTATGTATGTATGTCTGTATGTATGTCTGTATGTATGTCTGTACGTATGTTCCGAATAGAAAATTCCATTTCTGAACCGATCCGGACCAAACTTGGCACACATACACTATGGGCCCCGGCGGGTGTCATAGGCTACTTTTCGTATCGATCGATATCGATTTTATCGATTTTTGCAAAATTTGAGCTACGGGGCTGGGAGTTGGCAACAGGGGGGGGGGGTAATCGAGCATGCTGATCACCCCCGTGAGCCGGGTAAGCCAGCTAGTTTCATATAGAAATTCCGAAATTTCACCTATGGGGCTGGGAGTTGGCACAGGGGGGTAATCGAGCATGGGGATTCCGAATACAATATTGGTTTTCAGGATTATCGATTACTTTTATCGATTTTATCGATTTTTATCGATTTTTTTGCTGAGTTCACCTATGGGGCTGGGAGTTGGCACAGGGGGGTAATCGAGCATGGGGATTCCGAATACAATATTGGTTTTCAGGATTATCGATTACTTTTATCGATTTTATCGATTTTTTTGCAAAGTTTGAGCTACGGGGCTGGGAGTTGGCACAGGGGGGTAATCGAGCATGGGGATTCCGAATACAATATTGGTTTTCAGGATTATCGATTACTTTTATCGATTTTATCGATTTTTTGCAAAGTTTGAGCTACGGGGCTGGGAGTTCGCACAGGGGGGTAATCGAGCATGGGGATTCCGAATACAATATTGGTTCTCGGGATTATCGATTACTTTTATCGATTTTATCGATTTTTTGCAAAGTTGGAGCTAGGGGGCTGGGAGTTGGCACAGGGGGTATTCGAGCATGCTGATCATCCCCAAGGGGGGTGATCAGCATGCTCGATTACACCCCTGTGCCAAATTCTAGCCCCCTAGCTCAAATTTTCAAAAAATCGATAAAATCGATAAAAGTAATGGACGATCCTGAAAACTAATATTGTATTCGTAATCAGCATGCTCGATTACCCCCCTGTGCAAAATCCCAGCCTCGCATGTCAAAAATTACAAAAAAATCGAGAAAATCAATAAAAGTAACCGATAATTCTGAAAACTAATATTGTATTCGGAATTACCATGCTCACTTCCCCCCTGTGCCAACTCCTAGCCCTGTAGGTAAACTCTGCGAAAAAATCGATAAAAATCGGTAAAATCGACATCGATCGATAACGAAAAGTGGACTGTGACACCCGCCGGGGCCCGAAGTGTATGCGTGCCAAGTTTGGTCCGGATACGGCGGAGCCGGGTAAGCCAGCTAGTATACTATATATTAGGTTGGTAAGAAAGTTCTCGGACATTTCCAGAAAAGATCTGCTATTTCTCGAAACCTAACGCATATACATCAGATAAAGGTACCATTCGATAGAGAAAAGCAAGCTCTACAAGATGATGTGCAAAAATTCTTACCAGCTTGTCCCATCTTAAGTTTGCACCCACTGAGTCGTGCCGAAATTCAAAAAGTCGCGAAAAATCCATATCTTTGTTCAAACAAATCCTACGGACCTCCAACTTGCTAATAAAAACTGCGGACCACATCAGACACTCACATGCACCGTTCCTGTAATTATTCCTCATCTAGAAACGAAAAAACGAAAATTTTCACGCTTGTATAAAAACGAAGCTCTGCTGTTTCCACCCATGTAATTGAATAGTACAAGCCCTTAGAAGTATAACCGTAAATTTTCAGCTTTCTACAGGCCCTAGTTCCCGAAAATTACCGAATTGAGCGCTCCTCACTCGGGCGTTCCATGCTAAAATCAATATTTTTCGACAACTAGGGCTTAGGGAAAGCCGAAAATTTACGGTTATACTTTTAAGGGCTTGTACTATTCAATTACGTCGGTGGAAACAGCACAGCTTCGTTTTTATACAAGCATGAGAATTTTCGTTCTCTCGATTTCCAGATGAGAAAAAATTACAGGAACGGTGCATATGAGTGTCTGATATGGTCCGCAATTTTGTGAGCAAGTTGGAGATCCGTAGGATTTGTTTGAACAAAGATATGAATTTTTCGCGATTTTTTAATTTCAGTACAACTCAGATTTTGGGTGCAAACTTACGGTGGGTCGAAGCTGGTGCGAACTTTTGCATACCATCTTGTAGAGCTTGCTTTGCTCTATCGAATGATGCCCCTGTGTATATGCGTTAGGTTTTGAGAAATAGCAGATCTTTTCTGAAAATGTCCGAGAACTTTCTTACCAACCTAATATCACTGCTTATCAATATATATCAGTGGCGTACCGAGGGGGGGGGGGCGCCCCCCCCCCCGAGAACGGGTCGCGAAATTTTTGAAAGTCACTTACATGAGTTTAAAAAATGTGCAAGTGACTTGTTTATTTTTGTAAATGATTAAAATAATTTTTAAAAATTTTTAAAAATTCAAATTAGCCTTATAAAAAAAAATTTTCCGGGGGCGTGGCTGACGCCACGCCCCCTTTTTCCAGATTTTAGGGGTTGGGGGCCCGCAAAAATTTTGAGAAGCCCTCCTAAAAATTTTTTGGAGTGCGTGACTGACGCCACGCACCTTTATTTGAAAAAAAATTTTGCCGCGCCCCCCCCCCCCGAGCCGAAATCCTGGGTACGCCACTGATATATATATATAATCTATATTGGTGCGGTTTCCTCTTTTGGTCTATTCAATGCTGTGGCCGGGAGTATCGCGGATCACGATCAAGAGAAACCAGCAGACATTGTTGTAGAGTAGAAATATGTTTATGTAGTTTAATGTTTGTTTACGTATGCTTTACTCATTGCCCTTTTTGGATAATGATCATTCTTATTGTGACTTCACCCGCGATAAAACAGTTATTCAACGCTGGTGTTTTGGACACCAGTCTGGACGGCTGAAGCAGGGTAACCGGCACTGAACCACCACTTTATATAGATCTTGCTTTTGTTCATAATGTAGACAACGACCTAGTACTTGCCTCTTTGATTAAGGCGGAATTACTTGTGAAAAAAACGTAAAAAAGTACATTTCATTACCTTGTTCTGTTTCATGCTTTCGCAGCGATTTTTTTTCCAGTTTGGACGGTTGTTGCTCAGAATAACAAGCACAACAATTCAGACAACGTCCCAGAAGACAGCGTCAAGCGGGAGCGAAAATTCAAAGGACGCATCAAAAACTAGATTTGGCTCTGACGTGCATTTTGACCTACTAAAAAAGAGTTTTTGACTTTCCATAACTAGTTTCTTTCTTGTTTATCTTCTCCTGATGATCGCTACTTTTCAAATATGGTTGGCTTTAGAATAAACACAAATAAACAGCTGACTTTTCCTCGTTTTCCCCGTGTTGCGGATCACGTGGTCCTAGAGCGAAAACCTGCAATGCCGCCAAATGAAACATTTCAAACTTGTTACAGTGTTTTAATCCAATTTTCAAGAGGTTTTTTGATTTTACTGACTATTCGCGTCTTTTTTCTTCACTGGTTTTATGAACAACCTACACTTTTTAAGGGGGGCACATAGTCAAACAACCTTAACTTTTGAGGCCCTGTCTCTAGACTGTCGAAGGTATGTTGAACGGCCGCCGGCCGGCGCGAGTGCCTGAGTTGGGTTGGATGCTATTGCGTGTAAAACCACCGTCCACGTGTGGTCCCCGCGCAAAATCCTGCAAGTCGAAGTAAGTCGTTTGTCAAGTACGTTACTGAGTAGTGTCTGGACGCTGCCTCTGAAAGCGCAGTCCACACAAATGTTATGAGATTCCGAGATGTCATATACAGTCTGCCCCAATCGGGATCAGGCCGAACCGTCGGCTGAATTTGCGCGCTCGCAGCGCTAGGAGATTGCGCTGCATACGCGCGCTGTCGCAGAGAGTGAAGAGATCGAGGAGAGAGCAGACCAGCTAGCCGCAGATGTGGCGCGAAACCCTCGCGGCGCGGACTCCCGCCATGCCGATTTTGGCCTGGTTAGGATTGGGGCAGACTGTATGTCATATCTCTATATATAAAAACAGAAAATCTGTGTGCTTGTGTGTTTGTGCACATCCCCATAGTCATGAAGGGTGAGAGGGTGAATCATACCTTCGATAGTCTAGAGACAGGGCGTCAAAAGTGAAGGTTTTTTGAACATCTGACGTCACAAATAGTGAAGGTTGTTTAAAGATTATCACAGAAGAGTGACATAAAACACATATAAAAAGCAAAAGAAACTGCTGAAAATCGGATAAAAATGCTGCAATGAGGCTTGAAATCTTTCATTTGGCGGCTTTTCAAGGTGCAAGTTTTCGCTTCAGGACCAGCAATTCGCAACACGGGGTTTTGATTTTTGATGCGTCCTTTGAATTTTTACCCCCGCATTGACGTTCCTGTTTCCTGGGACGTTGTCTAGATTGTTGCGCTTATTGTTCTGAGCAATAATCGCCCAAGCTGGAAGAAAATCGATGCGAAAGCACTGAGACAGAACAAGGCAAAGAAAAATGCACTTTTTACGATTTTCTGCAAAAAATTCCACCATAATCGAAGAGGTAA